CTGAGCACTTCAAAGCCAGAAGCCTCTGAAATGAGGCTGCAGCATCCAAACTGGCAGCTGGTGGGGGGAGTCAGGCAGCCCCCGTCCCCGGTGTGTATCTCCAGGCACTCCTGTCAATGTTGACTTGTCGGGCAGCGTTGGCCACCAGGGTCCCGGGGGATGGCTCTAGATGCCCACATCATGGCCAAAGGAGCATTAAAGCTACCAGCATGCCAGTGAGCCTGGACTGCAAAAGGCCAACACCTTCATGCAACAGGCACTGGATGCCCATTTGCTGATGGGAGAGGGGAGCCACAGAGAGTGACTGCTAGGACACACACACGTGCTCACACTCTGTACCACACAGTAGGATGGTACTGTGGGCTCTGACATTCCAGACCCAGGATCAAATCCTGCTTCCCCTATTTCCCAGATGTGTGACCTTGGGTAGCACTATGGGTTGAATTACTTTCCACCCCAAATTCGTATGTTGCTGTCCTTAACCCCAGTATCTGAGAATGTGAACTTACTTGGAGATAGTGCCTTTACAGAGATAATCAGGTTAAAATGTGGTCATTAGGGTGGGCCCTAATCCAATATGACTGATGTCTTTACAAGAAGGGGAAATAGGACACAGTCACACATAGAGGGAAGATGATACAAGAAACACGGAGAAGACTGTCATCTACAAGTCAAGGAGAGAGAGCTCGAACAGTTCCTTCCCTCACAGCCCACAAAAGGAGTCACCGATGCTTTGATTTTAAACTTCTAATCTCCAGAACCTTCAGACAATGCATTTCTGTTGTTTAAGCCACTCAGTGTGTGGTACTTTGTTAGGGCAGCCCTAGGAAACTAATACAAGTAGTGACTGTTGCTTGGCGCCTCAGTTCCCACAGTCCTAAACAGGAAATATAATAGTACTTGCCTCATAGGTTGTATAGGGCTTTCCTGGTGACTCAGTGGTAAAGAATCTGCCTGCAATGCAGAAGACGTGGGTTCAATCCCTGGGTTGGGAAGATCCCCTGAAGAAGGAAATGGCAACCCACTCCAGTATCCTTGCCTGGGGAATTCCATGGACAGAACCCAGTGAGTTAAATTCCATAGGGTCACAACAGTCAGGCATGACTTCACAACTAAACTTCCAACCACCAACCATATGTTGCTACGAAGCTTCAATGAGATGCTACCTCTAAAGACAGCACTTAGCACAGGATTAGACTCTTAGCATGTACTCAATAAATGGTAATTCCTATTATTATTATTATGGTTATTATTCACTCATACATTCCTGTGTACACTAACACATTTACTCATCTATTCCACATAATACTGTATTGTACACCTTCCAAACACCAGGCATGTGGGCCCTGAAGTAGAACAAATCCCTGTTCTCCGGGGTACCTGCAAACAACTGAAGATAGAACTATCCTCATGGAAAACAGACAATCCACATACACACAAGTTAACTGATGGGAGAGCAAACGTTTAGGCGTTTGCCCATGTGTGCATTTGTTGTTGTTGTTTAGTTGCTAAATAACATCTGACTCTTTTGCAACCCCGTGGACTGTAGCCCACCAGGCTCCTCTGACCATGGGATTTACCAGGGAAGAATACTGGAGTAGGTAGCCATTTCCTTCTCCAGGGGGGTCTTCCTGACCCAGGGATTGAACCCAAGTCTCCTGCATAGGCAGGTCGATTCTTGCCACTGAACCACCAGTGAAGTCTCCATGTGTGCATCCAAGAGTGTTAATATGTGCATATATGCGTGCATAGGTGTTAATGTGTGCATTGAGTGCATCAGGATACTATGTGCACATGCATGTTAGTATCTGTGCATCTGAGAGCTCAACTGCATACCAGTGTGAATTCATGCAGAAGTATATGTGTGTGTTGCACATGTGATGCTTTAACATGTGTGTACATAAATGTTCATGGGTATATACATGTGGGGGATGAGAACATATGGGCACAGTGTGAGTCTGGATGAGTGAGCAAAGGCAGATGTTTAGGTAAGCATGTGTGAGAACTTTAGAGCCCAAAGCTGGTGCTCCACTATTTACAGTCTAAGAAGGTCTGAAAGGCCATCTCGGCCATCTGCCAGCTGGTCTCAAATAGACAAACCCCTTCCCCACATCAGACTTCAATGCTCTTGTGCCTAGGGACAACCCCCTAGAACCCTCCCCTGGTTTTCAGGAAGTCCTTCCAGCATTCTAACCACAATCCCTGGGTGACACTTCAGAAACCAGTAGTCCAAAAACTCCCAAATGAAACAGCCATCAGTCCTGTGTTCCAAGCACATGTTGGTCCTATGTCCTCATTCAGGTCTGACCTGCCTTTCCAAAGAGGAAGGTGGGCTTCCCCACCCTCAAAGATCTCTCCAATTTGAGTATCCTATTCCTGTCCCCAGAAGGCCCCACACCAACACTACCTGGGTGGGGAGGAGGTACTAAATTTCCTGGCCTATTTCCCACCATCACAGGATCTGATGCTTGACAAACAAGCATGGCTGGACATGGACCTGGGGTGGGGGTGAGCACTAACTAGGCCAGTGCCCACTGGGCATCTGGAATTGTTGGAACTGTGAGAGGACCAATACTTCCCAAGGGTGAAAAAGGACCAAAGTGTAGGCTTGTGGTGGGGAGACTCACAGATGAAACCACCCCCTGAGTGGACTGACTCTTAACCCATACACACTCTTCCCTGTCTAAGACTTGGTGAAGTCCTGAAGGACCAGACTTGGGGAATCAGCAACAGCTGGGCCAGAGTCTCTGCCCCCCAAAACTAGTATCTGAACCTCAGACTTGAGTTCTAGTTCTAATAGTGCTAACAATGATAATAAAAAAGGCTCACATTTATCACACCCGGACCTATGCTCACACTTTCAATGCACTGTCTCACTGAGGTCACACACTGTTTCAATGAGGTTAGGGACTATTACTGTTATCCCCATTTTACAACAGAGGAAAACATGGCACAGTTTAGCTCAACATGCAGCTGATTCATAGCAAAGTCAAGAGAGCTTGAGTCAAGAGTTACACTTTAACCATAGAACCCTTACCTCAGAGTGACCCTTGACGGTCCCTTCTCCTCTCTCCATTTCCCAGTCTATGCAGTAGGGCTGCTAATAGTCATGACCACCTAGCTCTGTGGGACTCCCAGCTCTGACTCCTTGGGTGAAGGGATCAGGCCTCAGAGTGAGAGCCAGGGCCTCCCCCTAGGGTCTTGTAAAGCATGCAGATGACAGGACAACCAAAACCCACTGAATCAGACTCTCAACATACTGCAACCCCTCCCTCCCGACATCTGCAAGCTCACAAGGTCAAATCATCTGCTGTGCACCAAGGTTTGAGAATTTCTGGGGTGGTGGGATCCTTTGACAGGAAGGAAGGTAGTGGAAAGCTCCCCCCGACTCAAGCCCTGCTAGAAGGACTTCAAGTCACAAGGCTGAGGATGCTCTGGGGTCTGGCTTACCATTCCTTCCTCATCCAAAGGACAATTCCTCATCTAATGGAGAGATCAGTAAATTCTAGAGGTGTTACCTATTATGGGGGTGGGGAGAAGGAAGAAGTGGGTTCTGCCCCTTAATCAGCTCTCCTTGAGGTCCCTGAGATGGACGGACACAAGGGTCTGAATAGATGCCTCCTCCCCCAAAAAGAAAAAAAAAAAAAACTTGAGTGAGGTGGGACCAACCAGCATAGCTGAGGGAGGGGAAGCCTGGGGGTACTGGAGTGGCAGGCAGTAAGGTGGGAACACGCACATACAAAAGCTGACCCCAGCCAGGCCTACTGGCCAGGCAGTTCATCCCCACCCCCCTGCGGCAGGCAGCTTGGCAGAGCTGAGCGCCAGCTTCTCCATCCAAACCCGAGTTCCCACCGAGCGTGCTTAATGCAGCGGCGGTGACATTTCTGCCGTCAGAGGCAAAAACAGGAACTCGGCCATTTTCTTGAAGGGCGCCCACAGTGCAGGCGGGAGTTGAAAGAAGGTGGGGTTTCAACTCCTGCATCCACCACCCTAACCACCCACTCTTGCCTCTGCCCAGTGCTCCAGCCAGGTCATAAAACTTGGGTCTCCAGACAGACTAGGAAGCTGCTACAGGACTCTGACCCTCTTGTAAAAGTGGGGAAACTGAGGCCATAACGCTGACGCTAGCCGATCTGGAAAAGGTAAAAGGAGGGATGGAGAAAAGCCCCGAGGAGAATGCCTTAAAGAACGTTCAGGTGGGAGCACAGCACCAGTCTGAGGAGCCAAAGGGCTGAAGCCAGCAGGCCCCAATGACCAGCCTCAAAAGAGCGGACACACCTGGCCCCCCAACACTAGCGGGCCCTCGTGAGGGCGCTCGCGGCCTCTTTAATCCTCCAAGCAATGAGAGGGTTAAGCTTCCCCGCGTTACTTGCCGCAGTAAGTGGAAAGGAAAGAAGTGTCAACTCCGTTCTCACCACAGCGGGGCTGTCGGATGGCACCTCCCCCCGCCCCGCGCACCCGGCCCGGCCGGCTCCCCCGCCCTCCCCTCGGAGCGCGCGCACACACCTCCCACCGCTTTGCCCAAATTATTTTCGATCCCGGGAGACTCCGGATGCCAGACGCGCTCCGCAGCGGCGGCGGCGGCCGCGCCTGATTCATTGCGCCAAAGCTGCAGATGCGACCTCCCGCCTGCGCCCTGTGCCCCGGCCCGCGCCGGGCTGCGTGCGCGCCTGGAGAGATTCGGGGTGGGGGGGCGGCAATTTGTAGGCGCTCCCCCCTCAAGAGGCAAGCTCCGGCCCCCCGGGGCCAAGTCCCCAGTCCCCAGCTCCCCGGGCTGCACTAATTAGCTTCCTCGGGGGGCGCCACGCGGCGTGAGGGGCGGCAATTTCCCGGCTAGGCTGCGGGGGAAGCGCTCCCACCGCCTGGGAAGGTGAAATGGGAAACTCGATTCAAAGAGAGCTTTCCTCCCCCCCCCCCCCCCCCCGCCAACCCCTCCCGCCTAGCGCGGTAGAAAACGGGTTTGAAATTCCTCCTCTCTTTTTTTTTTTTTTTATTTATAGTGCACCGTCTCCATGGAAACCGCGGAGGAGGTCACGGTAGCTGGGCCCCCTCGCGTCACCCCGAGCCTCGCCGGCTACAGGCGCCGGGATTGCGGCCTCCCAGGCGCCTCGGCCCGCGTGGACTCTAGTCTGCGTTCCCCGCCCCCGCTCCACTCAGCCCGCGGCTCAGGCCGTATGACTCTGCCGGGTCCTAACCGGGAAGGGCGCACCTGGTTACCAGTGCGCTAGGCTCTGCCTCTGTCCCCAGGCTTTGGCACGCGGGAGTGCGCCAAGATACACGTGCCCAGCAACAAGACTAGAACACGTGCAGCGAGACGCCACCAAGGGGCTCACGGAACTAGTGGATGCCCTGGGCGATCGACCTATATAGGCGCACCACTCCAGACCTCTTGCTAAAACAAGACCACCCGTAAAGAACCTGGAGTCCCGCCTAGGTATCTTACTAGATATGTGACTTAAGGCAAGTCGCAACCTCTCTGCGTCTCACCTTGCTCATCAGCAAAATGGAATTGTCGCTTGGCTTGAGACAAAAAAAAAAGTACGTTAAACGTTTAACACTATGTTTGGCACGTGGTTCTGAAAAATGGTAGCTGTCACTAGGGTTATTTTTTACAGACTGCAAAAGCCGAGGCCCAAAACGCATGGCTCAAGGGCGCGGTTAGCCCGAAGGCTGAGTTACACCTTAGGAGCTTTCCAGCATCTTAGCCTAGTCTCAGGCCGGAGGTTGAGGGGACGTGTGCCTGTTTTGCTGAGCCTGGGCCTGCCTGGGGGCGCGACGCGGGGGACCTCCTAGCCAGCCACATCCGCACCCGGAACCCTGGAGACGGGACTCCCCGCATTGCGCGCCCCACCCCCCTCCTGCCCCAGCACTATTAGCAACGGGCATGCCTACCCTCCCTCCCAGGGCTGAGGCCGCACCTGCCCCACCGGATGGCCGCCCCGGGGCCAGGCCTTGCCCCCCACCGCGCACACTTCCTCCCGGACCCCCAGCGCCCCATGGAGCACTCAGGGGGGAGGGGACCCGGCCGCCCCCGCCCCGCCAGCTTCCCACAGCCCGAGCAGCCCGGAGCCGAGGAGGCAGGAAGTCTCAGAGCCGGGGCGTGGAGGCGGGGTAGGGGCAGGAAGTTGGGGGTGACTCTCCCAGAGACCCCAGACAGGCCCCGGCGTGGGAGCGGGGTGGGCGGGCGCGTAGGGATTAAGGGCGCGCCCCCACCCCCCGCCTCTGTAGCCTTAGGCCACGTGATCCCGGCCGGAGCGCCCCGCTGGGTGAGGGCGAAGGCCGCTACCTCTGGCGACCCCCAGCAGCGCACACTAGGAGGGAGGGGCAGCCTTTGTCTACTTTGCCGCAGAGACAGCCCCCCACAACCCCTCCCCCACGCGCCCGGCCGGGCCCTGCACAGCCCGGGTTTTCCATCCGGCCCGGCTCGGCTCGGCAGCTGTCAGGGGACCGAGCTGACCTTCGCGAGCAGGGAGTTTCAATTAGCCGCAGATCAGATAAGCGGGCGGGCCCGTCTCTCCGGGCACCGCGGGGGCGCAGCCCCGCCCCCGCCACGCCGCGCCAAACGCGCTCCAGATGGGAACAAAGATGGGGACGCAGCTCCACCTGCCTCCCCGGGGAGGGGGGAAGTGGAGGCCCGGCCGGGAGGAGCTTCCCACCGGAGGAAGGGGTTGTGCACCCTCCCCAGCCCGTCTAGGATCTCGTTCGGGGCAGGGGTCTAGTCAAAACGATCCTTGCAACTCTCTTGCCTCATGCACAGCGGAGAGGTGCCTGCCACGCTGACCTCATCTCCATGCGGGCATCGTGCCCTCCCTCCCCCGAAGGAAGGCTTTTGCCATCTCTGATCTCATCCGGAGCTCTCCCTGGGAGGCAGAGAAAAGGAGACAAGAGCCCAACAAAGAAAGGAAACTGAGGTAGAGAAGGGCTGGATTTCTTGATCCAGGTCACACCAACCACAACATTCTTTCAGATGTTTATCGAGTGCCTAGTAAGTACCAGGCGCAGTTTAGACTATGGGGACATCAGCCTCTTAGAGCTTACATTCTAATTCAGGGAGACAAACTATAATCAAATAAACAAATAGTTGAAAAGAATCATTTCAGAGATTCTAAAGAGCCATAAAGATACTAAAACAGGTCATGTGAGACTGGATTTCAGGGAGGGGACGGTGTTATGGTAGTCAGGGAGGGCCTCTTTGAGGAGGTGACATCTGAACTGAAGCCTGAAAGACCAGAAGGAACCAGTCAAGCAAAGGAGAGCATTTGGAGCATGCCACTGTGGACATGACTTTTGGTCCAAAGGGGAAGCAGACATGATAGGGCTTTGCAGACCAGGTGAGGCATCAGGGTTTATGAAAAGTGCAGTGGGAGCCTTTGGTGGGTTCTAAGCTGGGAGTGACATGGTCTGACTTACATTTTTAAAGATCCCTCTGGCTACTGTATAGATCAGAGGAAGGCAGAGGTATAGGAGAGACCAGAGAGGAGCAGGGAGGATGGGGCTGGAAGGGAAGAATGGAGAGTGGGGGATGGCTTATTTTGACTGATGAAGTGGATGTGGAGGTGAGGTGAAGCAACAACAGAAGCCTGGTGAGAAAGAGGCAGGCCTTGAACCTAGGTCAGCCTTTAGGAGCATGGAAGGGCTGCCCAGAGCTGAAGGTTAAAGCTATGGAGCAAGAATGCCAGGGTTCAAATGCTGGTACAGATATTTTCCAGCCGAGTGACCTTGGGCAAGGTCTTTATCAATATCACCAAGCATTTTTAAAAGAATAGGAGATTGTCATTGTAAGGTTTGAATATGATAACATCTGAAAAGTGTTTATCACAAAGCCTGGTAAATAGGTGCTCATTAAATTTGGGCTATCTTTATGGGCCTTTACTCCCCCTACACCCACACCCCACAGCACCACCACCACCACCTGCCTGTTTGTATCAAGACCATCCCCTGGCATTCCTACCCCACCTCTGGCCTTGCTTTCATTTGTTGAGAGTAGAAACTCCTTTAGTAGAAAAACCTTTATTTGGAAGGAAGTTGGGTGGGGAATTAATTGGAAAAGGACTAACCCAGTCGTTGCTCACTAAACTGACTGCTAGGATCCCTCATCATCCCAGCTTACCAATCCAGGTATCCCTCCAAGCCCCTCAGTGGTCTGCATATGGGCCTACCCTCCATGCCTGCCAGTGGAGTTGAGAACATTCAGTTTTCATTCATTCAATCAGATGAGTGACCCTCTGGGCAAGGCTGAGTTGAGGACAGAGAAAAGCAAACCCAGGCCCTGCCCTCAGGCAGATCCTGGGCTGACTCCACTGTGGTTAGTTAGGGAATGTTGTGCTCTAGGAGCTTAGAGTAGGACCTGAGAGGGTGGTGGAGGGGGCTCTGTTGGGAAAGCAGTTAGTACAGTCACAACTCCCATTTATGGAGCCTTTACCCAGAGCTAGTCACGGTACATGCAGGCATGTCATTCAGTCCTTACAACAACCCAATGAAGTCCATACTATTACTAGCCTTAACTTATGAGCAAATAAACAGAAACTTCCAGAGGTGAAGTGCCTTGCCCAAGATTACACAGCAATTAAATGGTGGAGCTGAGAATCAAACCCAGGTCTGGCTGAGGTCAGAACAGGAGAATTTAAACATTCTACTATCTGGTCTCAGATTCTATTAAATGCAAGGATATCTCTGATATCTCTGAAAGGCCTTCAGTCAAATTCCTGTGGTCATGGCTTTTGCCCTTACTTCACTCAACTTCCCTATGCCTGAGTCTTTATCTAAACCCTCAGGAACCCAGCCTGGTGCCAGGTAGACAGTAGTACTACTTGAACATATCTTCCTCTTAACAAAGCAGTGTTGATGCCTGCCCTCACCACCACTCCCCTTGGATTCTTGGGCCCCTGTATCCCATTTCAGAGCCTGTCAGTGCTGCTGACTGGAAAAAGAAAAGTTCTAGTTTGCATAATATTTGCATCTGCTTTGCATGCTGTTCATATAACATCAAAATACACAAAAGCCTGGTCCTGGTACCCTGCGCCCCCTGGTACCCTATTCTTGGCATTCTGCCCCCATCACAAACTGCTGACCAGAACAAGGGGGTGAGGGTTCTGGGGAGTACTCATTTAGGGTCCACCTAACTTTATCTATTTCCAACATTGTGTGGACAGAAATGGGAAGAGTTCTGTCTACCCTCATCCTTCCCCCCGCCACATCCCTTCCTGGCGGAATTCTGGGTCAGGGCAGGGGAACCGGGGCCAGAAGGCAATGTTTGTGCAGAAGCGACACATACACACAACACAGACACACTCACAAGGCAGTGTGGCAGGAAACATCTGGGGTCTGGGTGCTCAGCACCCCATGACAGAGGATGAGCAAAAGGGAAAAGAGGAGGCACTGCTGCTGTGGCGATGGCTGGGGCATCCTCATGTCCCCATCTCTCCTCTCACAGGGCCAGTCGGCCTCCCCGACAGCCAACCTCACACCTACAAACCCCTCTAACATGGCTGCTTGGGCTGGAGGGAGGTGGGGAGACGGACAGGAAGAAATAGAGACACCAGTGATGGGATGGTAGCAAGGGCTGGAAAGAAGGAAACTGGCTCTGTGATCCTGGGAAAAGAGAGGGAGGGTCTGTGCCCAGCCTAGCTTCAGCCTGGGCTCTTAACCACTTCAGGAACTCTTAAGAGACCCGGTGTGGGGGCATAGGAGGAGAGAGCTGCTGTGATTGGCCGATGAGGTGTGACCCACATGAGTTAACAGAGGACATAACCTGTCCTGATTGGACTCAGACATCACTGTAATGAGTGTCTAGGGATCTGAAGGGCCATGAGGTGTCAACAATTGAAGACTGTGATTTGCAGAGTCATCTTGGAAGTCCACACATGCCCCTTCCCTGACTCCAGGTTGAGATTTAAGGGTTGGAGGCACCCGGAAGCTGAACAGGAACCAGAGACACAGGAACTCAGAATGGTGGGCTCACATGAGGTCCTTGGATGGCTGGGAGCCAGAAGGATACTGACTGAGTGGTGACACAGCACCTTGACAGGCCGTAGAAGACGTGAAAGGTGGGTGCACACTGAAGGAAGAGGCTGCCACCCTGGCTTATAGTTCACGTCTTAACTCTGCCCTGGGATATACAACGTTCCAGGCCTGTAAAGGCCCCCAGTGCCCCATCATTTCCATACACTCACCTCCCTGCACAGTATGTTGGGATCTGCCTCTGTGATGGACTGAATGTTTGTGTCCC